ACAGAATGAGACCTAGTTAGGAAAGAACAGAAAAGGAAACAACTCAGTTGCAGAAGAGGAGGGTGGTGGTGAAGGGAAGGGCTGTGCCAGTGCTCAGTGGGGAGGGACAGCTTTCAGACACACCACTAAGATAAAACAAAATGTTTAATGCTTTTTCCTTTCAGCCTTCACTGAAAGAGATATGCATTTTAACCTCAGGAAAGTTGCTGCTGCTGTTTGTTAAAGGTGATCTAGTTAAAGCTGTGGCGAAAGAGTACACATTCTTTACAGTTACTAAGCAATGGTTATTAAGTCTTAAGCCTGAAAGATGTATCAAATGATAAATCTGTACCAAATCCCTTAACATTCATCAATAACTTTCATTAACAACTTTCATCTTGGAAAAGTTCAGTTATTGCATTTCAAATGTGCAAACTGTTAGAAACCAGAGAGGAACTGCAATATGGGATTAAAATTCAAAATTAACTTAACACTGAGGAAGTAATCTTAAGGGGGGAGGAAAAAAAAGTGTGCTGTTGAAAACCTGCAAGTGAAACTCAACTTCACTAGTAGAAAGTGGGAAGCAACTAGTTAAATAAATATTGTCTGAGAAAGGATTAGGATTCCAGCAAATCACACAATAAAGGTGAGTTGTTACACATCATATTCTTGTTGTCAGGAAGGGGAAGGAATCATCACACTGCTGATTCCTGGCACTGGTGCAAAAGAACAGTGTAATCTGGGAGTCACACAGAATTATACTACTTTAAAATGGCACAGTATTGGCCAAATAATGTGTTTTGGTTTTGAAATCAGACTTTAACAAATGCGTAACATAACTGGAGAAAGTCCTGACAACAGCAACAGTGATAGTCACGAGGTCTAGGAGGAAATAATAACAGAAGATATTGCCTGTAAAACATGAGGAGCCATCTTCAAACGATTATGATTTTGCTCCAATGAGGAAAGCAACAAACCGTATCCATCTTCCTAAGGAAGACTTGAACTGCACCAGTCGCAGGACTCATCACCATTTAGGAAAAATTTGCTAGGGATAAATCTGATTTTGTATATCTTTTCCACCTACATAATTTGGGTGGTATTTAGGGAAATCATTGTACTTTTCTCCAAAATAAGCATTATAAAATCTAACACATTTGGAGGTTGGGGTTTTCTTAGTGGAGTAAGGTGAAGTGATGCACTCATTTTTGTTCTGCAGACATATAAAAAAAAAAAAAAACCCACAACAAAAACACTAAATGCTGACAAGACCCAGAAACAATATTTCATTTTTTTTCCACAATTTCAAAGATACCTACAATCATAAAAAATGTTGCGCACATTCATTGTAAGATAACCTAATATCTTTACACATTTTTAAAAATTGTTTCAAAAAAATCATTCCGATACACCACATCTTACTTGCATGAAGAATTCTGTTGCTGTTTAAATCATTTCAGAAATAAAGATGATCATCATAAACACTGTTCTTCTTAAAAAAAATAATTAAACACCATTTTTATTGAAAATCTAATTCAGTTGCTTACAGCAACACTGAAAATAGAAGTCCAAATACAGAACATACTCATCTTGTTTTCAAGTTAGAAGAGGATCTGTATTTTTTGTTTTTTAGAAGCTTTATCAGCACTTCTGCAAGGAAAATAACTGTATTCACAAAATAAGCATAATATCTCTGGAATTAAAAATACTATCTTACTGGCTACATCCCTGGTTCGAGTGCAAGGTAGAAATGACCAGTGCAGCTAGGAGAGTAGTTTCATAACATAATTTATGTTAAAGTTACACAGAACTATGTTTATAAATGTTAATTTTGACTCTAGATATAAAAATTGGCATAAAAGTTGTGGCTGTATGGAGCCAGGAAAGTTTAACTTGCTTTGAAATTTCTACAGTGTGGCTTTCGTAGTACCTTTACTTCTCTGCCTCCCATACAGCACTTCTGCGTATGAACTCATCCAATACAGTGTGTACAGCTCACAGAGCTCATCAGTTAAGCATCCTGCCTCCATTCTGTAAAGTACTTGAGAACATTCTTCGGGGCTTTGCTTTATTTGAGTACAGATATCTTGCAGATGTTTAATTTAAAGCTCATGTGTAGTTCCACTGAAGTAAATGGGATTACTAAAGTACTTAAAGTAATTCCCTGCTGAATCAGGCTTTTAAGGGTAAGAATAAATGTGTCTAATTTTTATTCATGCATCAGATATCTATAGACTAATAGTTTAAACTCAGCAATTTTGTATCTAGTTAATATTAAATCTCTGGAGTTTAGTATCTTCACCTGATGCATCTACCATTCTTGCACCAAGGACCCTTTTTAATGTAACCTTGTAGCACAGTTTTTGCACACATAGTGTCATCAGACACTAGTGCTGTGATGACTTACACAGAAACAGAGCAAGGTAAACTTTCTTTTGTATATTTGTATATTGTGTATTTGTATATTTGGCCAATATACAATAAAAATCACACTGTATGGTAAGTGATAAATGAACTGCTCCTGGACCTTGTACTTTCTGAATGTTACATATACCGAAAACTTCAGAAAAGAACTCCTGTAAGTTAGATTAAAAAAATAGTGGAAGCAATTACATTTACTTTGGACAAAATAGGTAAATTCATTCATCTATCTGTAACTGCTTATTTCCTGCATCTGTGGAGGTTTAGAACAATTTTTAGTACTGGGCAGAAGTGTCCAAGGAAACAAAAATCTGTAGATCTAAGGTATTTAAGAAATACATGATACACAGTGCATTTATATGATCGTCACACCTACACCCCGGCCAGAAGCAAACACAAAGTGACATGAAATGAAGGTGAGGCTTGTCAATGCAACATCTGTCAGTACATACAATAAAAATTAAAAGATCTACAACCTCATCAGTAATGAGACACTTTGGGGCTCTTACAACATCAAGACCTGGCTGACTGATGCTAAGAGTTCTCTGCAAAGTACTTCTCATATCTATCAAAATTTATCCCCTCAATTACTTTTTTAACTGCATAACAATATCAGCTATAGGTATGCTGACTTCTAACAGGTTACACCCATATAAACCATTTCACTGCTCTGAAATTAAATATGACAGAGCTTTACCTTGTGCTAAGAAAACAGAAAGAAGAGCCTGATAGAGTGAAAATAGCATGCTTCTCAAAGCACATGTGCCATCACCACTACTGTTCCAAATCTTTTTCTTGACTAAGAAATGCAAGATGTGTGAGGGATAAAACCTGATCAGATCAAGAAACACTAAGAGGACGCTGGACAATGTCTTCTTCAGCAACCCCATCTCCAGCAACCTGTTCAGATTTCACCGCTGTGCTCAATAATGGCTTTCCACAAAGGATCACACTGCAATGAAGGTCTCAGTCCTTAACTTCAGCAGGCTATATAGCCTTGCTCAGGGACACACAAAAAATGCATAATGTCTGCACTACATTGTGTGCTTTTGTACACACAAAAATATACAACAAAACTCCCAGGGCACATAAGGGGCATCAAAAGCTTCCCCATCTTCTCAGGAACAAGGCACAAGTATTTGATCTTGTCTTTTTCTCTTTGTATGTGCATGTCTCCAAATAGGTGCACATTCTACCTATGCATATTCAAGCAGATCTAGAGATCCCAAAGCCCCTTCTGGGAACAGAAGCAAGGTTTTGTAGCACACACTTCCTCTGATGAGAGAGAAGCCAAAGGGGCATGTATCATTTGTGGTGCTCAACTCCCTCCTGAAGGTATTTTGCCACTGAACTATGTGAGTATGGCATAAAAATGCACACAGACCAGTATCTTGTGAAGCACAAAGCTTGAAAATTTATCTCAGTTAAATGGGTACATTCCGTATATACAGTATTTTAAGTCAAAACTGCTTCTAACTGGGCTGGGCTGAATTTGGCACAAATATCTGAAGCTTAACAATTTCAGCTTCTAATGGTTTGTGTTCAAAACTTTAATTTGCAATTAAGTTTCTGGTTTTACTCGCTGCTACTAACATAGCCATTGCTACTTCCCCACTTTTCCAAATCATTTCTGTTCAGACAGTACCACTCCCCCTGATTAGTAAGTACGATTCATGCTTTTAACAAAATCCCCATTGAAGAGGAACATTTTCTCTCAGGTTTCCTTCCAGCCCTGGTCTGTAGCTGTGACAGAACAAAAAGCCATGGATCAACAGCTTCCTATCCCTTCTCCACTATTCTCTCTGTTGTCTCTACACTTCCATGTTTCTCTCGTCATTTGCCTTTATACTTTTCTCTGATTATCAAGTATCTGGCAACAAAGAGCTTGGCAGGATTTAGAGACATTCAGTCACCCAAGGGCCACGGGGCTGAAGGTATAACGGGAGAACCCTCACCAAGTTCCCAGCGGCAATGTCCTTGGAAGGCCCTGTCGATGCCACTCACGTGCCTTGTGCCCTATGGAACTGCTGCTGCTTTGCCCCTTCAGGACGTTGGGCTCCGTATGTGGTTTGGAATAAGGACAAAGCATAGCTGGCCCGTGCTGCGCAGCGTAAAAATAGTCTTAAAGCTAAGAGAAAGTGAAAATAAGGAATAAAAGCAAACAGCGGCACCACTTGAAGGCACTCTCTTTTCGCCTACTTGTTGCACGACCCAGCAGGTGCGGCAGGAACCTGCTCGGGAACCAGAGGGACGGGCGAGGGGCGTTTAAGGCCAGGCCGGGCAGTCGGAGCCCGGGTCTTGCCCCGCCCAGAGAGCCCCCGAGGGGACGGGACTTTTCCCCGGGTGGGGCGGGCAGAGGCAGAGCCCCCCGGGGCAGCCGCCCGCAGCCCGTCGCTTCCAGGGGACGAGTGCACGCCACCCGCGGCGGCGCGGCCAGCCCCCGGAGCGCGCACCTGCCCGCCGAGGCGGCCCGGCCGGCCGGGGGCGGTGCCGGGCGGGGAGCAGAGCGGAGGGGCGGGAGGGGAGGAGCGGGGGGCGGGCACCGCTTGCCGCCGCGGGGCTGCGGCTGGGCCGGGCGCGGGCGGGAGGCCGACGGAGCGCTCGCAGTCGCGGGGAGCGGCGGGGCGGTCGGTCGGCGGGTGGGAAGGAAGGAAGGCAGGACAGGGCAGGCAGGGAAAGGAAAGGCGGGCGGGAGGCGGTGGCGGCGCCGCGCTCGCCCCGCTGCCCTGGATGACGGGCGGCCGGTTCGACTTCGACGATGGCGGCACCTACTGCGGCGGCTGGGAAGACGGGAAAGCCCACGGGCATGGCATCTGCACCGGGCCCAAGGGGCAGGGCGAGTACGCCGGCTCCTGGTCCCACGGCTTCGAGGTGGCGGGCGGCTACACCTGGCCCAGCGGCAATACCTACCTGGGCTACTGGGCGCAGGGCAAGCGCCACGGGCTGGGCGTGGAAACGAAGGGCAGGTGGATGTACCGCGGTGAGTGGTCCCACGGCTTCAAGGGGCGCTACGGGGTGCGGCAGAGCCTCAGCACGCCGGCCCGCTACGAGGGCACCTGGAGCAACGGGCTGCAGGACGGATACGGCGTCGAGACCTACGGGGACGGAGGTGGGCGCCGGCGGGGGGCGCCCCGCGCGCAGTGGCGGCGCCGGGGGGCGGTGGGAGGGAAGGGGGCGCGCCTGCGTGGGCGCGCGCGCCGTGGGCAGGGCCCTTCCCCCCACCGGGCCGCCGCCCTCAGGCTGGTCCCCGTCAGCAGCGGTGGGGTCTCTCTTCATTCCGCCCCCCGGGCAGCGCTCCCGGGGGGTAGCACGTTCCTCAGCAGCCCCGCCTCAGCTCGCCGCCCGTGAGGCCATGCCGGCAGCCGGGGAGCGCCACAGGTGCCCGGCGCCCTCCCCGCCCCTGTCTGTGAGGGGCTGCCCGGGAGCGGCCGCCCCGGTTCGGGCGGGTTGCGCTGCCCGGCTGGGCGCTTTCTCCCGGCCATCTGGTGGCAATCCACGTTAGGACCGCCTGAGGACTGCTTTCCTTTCGCCCTGCTGAGGCGGTCGCCGGGCTTCCCGCCCGCGATAGCTAGACCCGGGGCTGCAGTGCATGTCTCCGGGGAGCAAGCTGGCCACTTCCCCCTTTCCCTCCCTCGTTTTGCACGGTTTTCATGTTGAAACAGCAAGGACTTAGTAAGAGAGCCCTTGTGCCTTGTTACGTTCCTGGCAGGAGTAGCTTTATACACTCAATACCTGTAAACAGGACGGTGAAGGTAAGTGGGTACACAGCTGTGAATCTGGGTCCACCCTCATGCAGTAACTCATGTTTTATCAAATTACAGGACAGTTTTAAGCGCAGTGCTCCATGTACAAGAAGCATTATGAAATTAATCACACAGGCCTGCCTCGCACACCCTTCACAGCAAGTGTTGCGAGGGATGAGCTCCCAGTGCAGACTGGACTGGGCAGCCTGCCCTTCCGCTCCAATTGGGAGCAGCCAAGGAGTCAGGGTTCAGTAAGGACAGTTAGTGTTGGAGCTTATTTGAGCGGGCAGTTACAGTTGTAACTCCCCTATATCACATTCTACAGGACAAATAAGCCTGGTATTTCTGTAATTCATCCTTCGCTGCTGTAATGTCATTGGCATCAGTGGAAGTGCCACCTGCAGCTTCTGCAGAGTTGTTCTTCAACTTGGTTTATGCCTTTGTAACAGGAAACACTGCTTCCAGTTTTAGGTTTAGAGAGTTGTGGGTTTCCTTGGGTTTTTTTTTTGTTTGTTTGTTTGTTTGTTTTTTCAAAAATGCTGCTCACTGCAGCTTTGAGCAGCATACTTCAGTAATGTTCAGTAAATAGAATTTACCAAAATTGGAGATAATGTTCACATGATGTAACTCGAGGACTAACCCATGTATCGGGCCTCTTGGTTGATGACGTTGATGGTTCCTTCAAGGAATTTTGTCAAGAGATTTGCGGCCGAACTTTCAGGATCACGTCAGAGAACAGGTATCTCTGTATTAAGCAGAGGAAGAAGACACGTTTACAGTTGGGGTCCCCTTTTCCTTCTGAAAATGCAAAACGTAGATAGTTGGGTAAGATTCATCTCCTTCAGAAAATTAAATGTACTGTTGGTTTTGTACCTTTTAATCTCCTGGTTTGCATCTTTTGGAGCTGTCTGAAAATTGTCCTTGGTGTGTAAAGTTCTGATGCTGAGAGACAGCAGAGATGTGTGTTTGAGGACTGAAAAACAAACAACAAAGCATGAAAGAGATCTGAATTTCAATTTTACCACACAGACTTTTCAAGGTTTATTATATTTGTTTTGTCTAGTAAATTACAAGCTGAAGAATAGCTGAATTTATTTTTTTTCTTTACAGAAAAGTAAATTGCCATTCCAGTAAATTTCCAGGAGCGATTTTCTCAATCTGAAGTTCCTTTTACCTTTTTCTTTAGGATTCTTGTGGAATGTTTAAAATCTCAGTATAATCCTGATATTTGGAAGTAAATTTTTTGAATTTTAGACTTAGAACGCACAAGAAATCCTTTGTCTGAATCAGCACATGAAGCATGCAGTTTACACTGAGATGTTTAGTCCTGTGAACTGTACCCTGTTACCATGGCCCCAGTCTTTCACGTGTTGCAGTTCATGTGAACAGAGGGTGTGAAGTCCCATTGATTTTAATGAAAGTACTTATGAATGAAGCAAAGCAGCATGTCATAGATCTTTGCAGATGTGTTTTTGTTTTCATGCTCGGGTTAACAATAGCTGTCTTTGTACACCAGTAGAATGTATGAAGTGTTTTTACAAGGAAATAAGATTGACATACATTTTTTTAACATACTGTGAAATATTTGCAGGAAAGATCTCTCCTTATTATGACCTGAGAATACCAGCATAGGGAGATAACTGTTTAGACAATGCCAATTGCCAGTTTGTTTTCAAATTCGCTAAAATCCAGGCCTCTTTGCTGCTTTTCTTTGTTTTTGTTTTTTCTCCCTTCTGTGTTGTTTTAAAATGTATTGGTGGCATTAGGAGGTGTAGTTGAGAGGGGGAAAAGGAGTACAATCACTGACAGTGTTCCTCAGTGTTTATGCACACAGCACTTTGCACGAAATGAGTAATATATGTCACACTGTGTTTAAATGCTTAAAATTGTCACTCGGTCAAATCTCTGAGGAAAACACTGAATTATAAATCATGATCCTCCACTGATTGCATGGGCCTTCAGGTGGCCTGTCAGGTTGTTCCCTGTGGCAGTCTGGACTTTTGTGCTGCCTCTAAACTGGATTTTGTTGAACCTGTGTGAATCTGCAAGCCTACTGGAGGATATTTTATGGAAGGAATAATGCCTAATTTGAAATTTCAGTATGTGTAAATTAGTTTGCAATTCGTGATCCTGCCAACAATAGCAATAATGGGCATCTTGCTGTAAGGTTGTGTGCTTCCATGCCACAGAGGGAGGTCAGTGGCAAATGCACCTTAAGCAACAGTCATTGACAGTATATTTGTGGTATCTAAGTAGTCTTCTTTCTATGTGGATGCTTATCTAATATTTGAGTCTGAAAAGCACATAAAAATACTGGTCTAACAACAAATCTGTTAAACCACGAGACTTAAGTAAACTATAGGAGCAAGTGGAGTAGTTCAATAGGTCCTCAGCCTCTCAGTTTTTTCACACAGTATAGTTTTAAATTTTAGCCACAAGTAGGCAATGACATTTACAGCTGTAATTTATACTGAGGGATTTTTGGGAAGGATGGCACAACTCCAAAGGGAGAGGTTATGAAATTATACCTTACAACAATTTGCCAATAGAAACAAGAGAGAAAACATACTTTCTAATAGCTCCCACTCAAAATATTAATACCTTTTCAAGGGAACCAATTGAACACCAGATGGATGGTCAGTAGGAGTTGTGCCTGAACATTTCTTTAGTTAAAAAGGATACCAAATTTAGCTTTTGGAAAATTAATGCTGAACAATGCTATTGTTTTATGGTCAAATGCAGTTTTAGATTAGCTTAGTGGTTAGAGTGTTAATTAAAATTTCACAGGTGACCCTTACAAGAACTCTGAACAGTCATCATATAAGGTGATATGTAAGTGAAGCGTTATAAGAGAAAGCAGGATACAGTGTACATGTTGATATTCATACTTATATAGATATAATATCTATATAGATAGGTAAATAATACATATATTGTCTCTTCACATAAGGGAAAAGCTTTTTTTATCACGTATTATGTCAGTTGCTTAGTATTCAATTATATTGTGATATTAACAAACCTTAACTTGCTCATGTAAAGTTTCCTAAAATTTCTATTGTTGAAGAAGGTATTACAGTTGAGTCTGATATCATCAGTCAGATTACTGTGTCTCTTATATCTGCGTTCTGGACACTGCTCTCCAGACTTTTCATTTAAAATATAGGTTGAAAAATCAAGGAAAATTACTCCGCTTTCTAGCACACTAGTATCAGATGCCTTTCCCTTAATGGATTTGTAATGATAGAAGAGATTGTTGTTACCTGCAAGACTGCACAAAATTCTAACTAAATATCTTGGCTACTTTCTAAGGATCATTTCAGTATGAACCTTCCATTTCCTCATTGACTATTTTCTCTTTAAAAGAAGCTCGCATTGATTTTATTTCCCTAGTAGAAAGGAAAATCAGACGAGTAAATAGCAGCACATCAGTTATCCTTGGTTTAATGCCTTTATAGGCAACAGTGACCACTTCCACTTCTTTCTACAAAGTAGTGAAAAATATAAGTCTTAAATTAATTACTTGGTTTTAAGTTTTCTATTTTTATTAATTAAACCCAAATATTAGTGAGAAAAAAGACTGCTCTCATAAAATTCCATACTGAAATAAGTGGATTCTGCTTTTAGTCTGACACTCAAATGGCAACATAAAGAGCCATAATTACAAGTTGTTACTCTAATATGATATTGGGATATAATCAAAATTAGTATTGAATTCATTATTTCTAAATTAAATCAACTGGTGCAGAATGTTAGACACGTTGCTGTGTGTAGCTGTAGGTATATGTAGTCAGATTCTTAGCTCCAGCATATCATTGCAATACCAGGGGGATCTCGGATATAATTATGGACAAAATGTAGTCATTTATACTCATACAATATTAATACAATTCTGGGAAATATCTGTTTAATAAAGAAAAATAATGCAATGTGGCTGTACTTTTGCAGTATTTACAGAATACGTCATACCAGTGCTTTGTGCTCATGTTTCTATTTGTTCTTTTCCATATGCTGAGGAGTTTTTTAAATAATCATGTTTCTAGATTCAGCACCCTTACAACCAGCACAGCAGTAGGTATCCAGGAGACCGAGAATGAGAAAGAAACTAAGTTGGTTGTTTGTGTCAGCAGCCATCTGTTATAAAAAAAACCTGCTTCCACTTTGTAGAATTTTCTACCAACACAAAATAGTTATGTTGTGGAACCTCTAGTTTGATGTAATAAAGAAAGCGGACTTGGCAAATTTAATTGCATATTAGCATTGAAATGTAACTTAGCAGAAGAGGTAATATAGTAAAGCAGTAATTGATAGATAATTGGCATGTACACGACCAAAATAGTATGCTTATACAAAGGAGATCAAATCTCAAAGCAAATGAAGCTTTGACCTACATCTGAAACTGCGGGCATTTCACAAATATTTTCACAAAAAATGAAGTCAAGCATTGAATTTGACATTTGATATTTAGTTCTCTGAAGAATAGTTTTTAATAGGTGCTCTAATTAAAGCAGATCAAAATCAAAGAAAAGTATTTTAAAGATGCTTATTCATCCCTCTCCAGGAATATCCAGACTCAAAATAGCTTTTTTTTTTTATTAAAAAAAAAAAAAAGCAGCGCTAGGTGTGTGAGAGACTTCATTTTGAGAAGCTTAAAGCAGTTTAATGGGAATTAGAGTGAAATTACCTTAGAAAGCCCATTACCTTGTATTTGTGGGGCTCCGGGCACTGTTCTTTGGAACCTCTTTGGAATTTTTGGTACAAATGACTTTCGAAGACAGGACACTACAGTATGTATCCTGTCAAAATGAAAATGCCTTCAAGAGTGTTCAAGGCCAAGTTGGATGAGGCTGTGAAGAACCTGATCCTAGTGGAAGGTATCCCTGCCCATGGCAGGGGGTTTGGAATGAGATAATCTTTAAGATCTCTTCCAACCCAAACTAGTCTGATTCTGTGAATACAAGTCTGCAGTAGTAATCTGATAATGCTGGATGTTGGCTCAAATGCAGCTTTGCATAAATATCGTGACTTCTCATATCAAATACCATGTTGTTCCTTGTATTGGTCATTTAAAAAATAGTTATGATTGCAGCAATGAAATGTGTTTATGACAGAATGCTTTGCAATTCTCTGTTTCTTACATACTGCAAAACAAATAAAAGGGAGAAAAAAAGTGCTAAAGGATTTGTGTTTCTGATCTTTCTGTCACAGCATGGTGCAGAATACAGTGCCATTTTTATGATACCAGGAATGCCAAAAAGTGTTGATATCAAGAGTTCAAAAAGAGTAAGATGTACCAAGGTTTTGCTCTTCTGTTAAGTGCATGCAAACCTTTAAACTTTAATTTTACAATAGAGATTTATAGCAGTGGATCCAGAGCCCCATCTCAAGACAAGGCAATTTAGTGTATTGTCAAATATGTCATGACATGGAGAGGTCTGTAGTCACCTTAAACCCAGAATAACAGGACTTTTACTACTGCTCCTTGCTCTTTGTGAGCAGCTGGAGGAAAGAGCCATGAGTGTCCTGCTCCCTCCCTCCCCTCCATCCTTGTCTTCCTCTCAAGCTGACCATATGTAATATGGTTCTGCTTCTGCTGACCACCTCCTCATTTGGCAACCTTAAAAAATAGGGCGTCTTGCTTTAGAAGGTTATCTTGATTTGGTTTTTTTTTTCCTCTGGACAGATCTATTAAAAAAATGCTTGCGATGATAGCTACTATCTCTTAGTTGACAAATTACATCAGCTGGGAAAACAAGGATTTGCTAGGCAGAAAAATAACTTGTATAAAAAACAAGTAACAGAAGTAGTTTATCTACTATGTCATGTGCTGTGATTTTTCTGCGTTTCTTCTTACCAAAACCGGAGCTGACAACATAGCATTGCCTTGTAGCATGCTAGGTCTTCTACAAGTCTAGTAAGTCTAAGCCTGCTTCCTAAATCTAATTTATTCTTATTACTTTAAAAGGTACATACCAGGGGCAATGGACAGGAGGGATGCGACATGGCTATGGTGTACGTCAGAGTGTACCCTATGGCATGGCAACTGTGATCCGTTCACCCCTCAGAACATCTCTTGCTTCACTTCGAAGTGAGCAGAGCAACGGCACTGTTCTGCATGATGCTACTTCAGACAGTCCAGCTGGAACAAGAGGAGGTTTTGTGCTCAATTTTCACAGTGATGCAGAGGCAATGGGCATTAAGAAAAAAGGAGGCTTATTCAGAAGAGGATCACTTCTTGGTAGTATAAAACTGAGAAAATCTGAATCTAGGTCATCGATATCTAGCAAACGGAGCTCTGTTAGGAGTGATGCTGCTATGAGCAGAATTAGTTCTAGTGATGCCAACTCTACAATTAGTTTTGGAGATGGTGACTGTGATTATTCCCCCATGGAAGACCATGTTGATGCCACCACTACAGAAACCTATATGGGTGAATGGAAGAATGACAAGCGCAGTGGTTTTGGTATTAGTGAGCGTTCAAATGGTATGAAATATGAAGGAGAATGGCTAAATAACAGGAGGCATGGATATGGATGTACCATGTTTCCAGATGGCACCAAAGAAGAGGGAAAATACAAAAATAACGTTTTAGTCCGTGGAATAAGAAAGCAACTTATACCAATACGAAACACAAAAACTAGAGAAAAGGTGGATAGAGCAATAGAGGGTGCACAGCGCGCAGCTGCCATGGCAAGAACCAAAGTGGAAATTGCAACTTCAAGGTATGTTGTCACAAAGTATATTTGTTCATCAGTGAATTTTCAGAAACAAGATTGTGTTACAGTATGTGAGCCCTTGTTGTTAACAAAAGATTCAAAAGTACAAGGCTGTAAATGTCTTTAGTGAATGAATACTTGCTCACTTTTCAGTTTCACATGTGTAGCTCTGTTGACTTTTGTGGCATTACACGTATGAAATGTAGAGCTTCCATTCATTTGAGCAAAGATGTTCGTATGTGTTCCATAATATACTGTGAAAGTAAATTTCCATTCTGATACATTCCTTCTTTCACTCTAGAGCTGCTGCATTATACCTTTAAACCTGTTTGTAAAATAAAACTAGTGGGCAAATTAATGATTTGGTGGATGTGAGGCGAAGATTAATATTTTCCCATAAACATGCTTGTTACTGTGTTGATTTTTTTGGGTGATATCTGAGAGTCGTTGAAGTTTCACATTTGACATCGAGCATCTTAGGATGGCATCTGTTTATCTGAGAGACTGCGTTAGGAACAGTGTAAGAATAATGGTTGAGGCTGTTGTGCTTAGAGGGTGTTGATTTGGTTGCCACGACAGTATCTGTTCAAAGAGTTCTGTATGAGAGCTCTCTTTTTGAGGCATGCCTCCTGCAGTCTGAACTCATCTGTATCTTATGACCACCGCTTTAAACCATAGCGGTTATCTCTGCCCTTCCTTCCCCCCTCCTCAATCCTGTTAAGTGTTTGAGATGGGAAAAGTGTTAATGGGTATTAATAGTGGGTAAAAAAAAATGTCATTTTCACTTTGAACTCCTAACCAACAACCAAGCAAAGTTGTCTGAAATTGAATTGTTACAAATGAAAACAGTATAGACAAATTTAATAGGTTTTGCTATTAAGTCTGAGAGCTCTTTAAGAAGCTGTTTAATTTTTAATGCCTTCCAATAATTTTCTGTAGCAGTTTCTCTGTTGCTGTTTTTAGTTTGTTTCCTCAGGCAGGCTTTTCGTGAAATATGCTGTGGACCACAAAAGAGCCAGGAAATGTACATGAAAGAAAATCTTCATGCTATTTTAGAAGGGGGATATCTCATTACACTTGGAGCTAGACAACTGATTCCTGATCTAGTGTGGTCACTAGTGTGACTGTCCTTTTTCTGACAGTCATAAAGAATACAGAATAGACTGAAAACTGTGTAAGTGGAACAACTTGCATACGTGGATGGCTCTTAGTGAAAAGTAGTCCAGACACAAACATGAAGAATGTAGCATACTGTTAGGAAAGCCTTCTAAGCACTGGTCACCTAAGTAACTGGAGAGTAACGTATACGCAATTACTTCTATAAATATATGTAAGGCATTACATGACAGCATACCATATTAGTGAAGCACATCAGTAACAGCTAACTTTTGGGAATTACTGGAGTCCATTCATGTCCTGTCAGTGCATAGTAAGCCCTAGATGTGAAAAAACTGAAGTTGTGGGATGTGTGGAGGGGAAGAGTTGCCGCCATGAGTCCATATAAAGCTATTAAAAAGCCATAGTCTGAGACCTTGTGAGGTTACAATGCGCAATGTCTGCATTTCCCCTTTAAGAAGCGATGTGTCTGAAATGTTTGCTGTGCCTTCCCTTCGATTTTAGGTAAAGGACAGAGCTCAAATTGCTTCTTTTGGAGTAGTCCATAAAAGTAAGGTCTGTTTCTTGAAAAGATGTTTTTGAAAGTGCAGCAACAGAAGGCATCAGTTGTAGCGTACCTGTAACCATAGGTTTTTCAGCTGAGAATTTCTCTGAAACAGTCCTGTGGACTGTATGAATAGCAAGATTGCAGATTCAGGTTTGCACTCGTTAGACACCTTTGCACTACAGTACTGATAGTGAGTCAGAGGCAGAGACCTGACACCTAGTCAGGCAACATCAGGCATAAAGATTGTGTTAACTTCATTTCTGAGTGTTGGCCAGTAAGGATGATGCAACACTTTCCACACTTTGAGTGTTCAGAATTGCCTTTAGTATCAGCAGTGGGAGCAAGTTCATGGCATTATGTGAACTAAGGGACTGTCATACTGGCAGTCAGTAGCACAGACTGAGAGCCAAATCATCTGGAATAGGTTCTAAAAGGGCATTGAGGAAGAAACGTCTGCATCCAAAGGTTGCTAAATTCTAATTTGACAGGATTGATAACAGTTTCAGGATGAAAGAACTTGCTTCTGTCCCAGTGAAACTTGAGGATCAGTACTGGTTTGTGAATGCTTTTTTATAATAAAATAATATTAATATAATATATTAATATGTCCTGGGTTTGGCTTGGATAGAGTTAATTTCCTTCCTAGTAGCTAGTACAGTGTTGTGTTTTGGATGTAGTAGAGAATAATGTTGATAACACAGCGATGTTTTTAGTGGTTGCTAAATAGTGCTGACACTGATCAAGGTCTTTTCAACTTCTCATTCCCTGATGGTGAGAAGGCTGGAGGAGCCCAAGAGGTTGGGAGGGGACACAGCTGGGACAGCTAACCCAAACTGGCCAAAGGGATATTCCATACCATATGATGTCACGCTCAGTATGAACTGGGGAACTGGGGGGAGTTGGCCAGGGAGAGCTGATGGCTGCTTGGGGCTGAGGTGGGCATCTTAGTCAGTGGATGGTGAGCAATTGTATTGTCCATCGCTTGGGGTTTTTTTTCTTGAGTTTTATTTCTTTTTTTTTATCTCCCTTTTCATTACACCTAGTAGTATTAGTGTGAAGTTTTACTTTATTTCAATTTTTAAACTGTTCTTAACCCACAGGTTTTACCTTTTTCCAATTCTTCTTCCCACCCCACTGTGGGGGGAGGGGAGCAAGTGAGCTGCTGCGTGGTGCTTTGTTCCGGCTGGGGTTAAACCATGACATAATAATATATTAATTCTTCCAACGGTAAAACTCCTGCAGTGTCTTAGATGAACGTGAGGGCAGTGGTCTTGTCTGTTTCCTAACAGCCACAGAAAAGCCCAGGAGGAGTGCCTTTTGTAATCTCTCTAATGTGTAATACGAAGGTGGTTCTGCCCATCTGGCATAACCTCACCTGGGCACACTGGCCTGTAAAACCTTCCATGTTTTCAGACCTGGCAAATGTCACCAGCAATGCGTGCTCACTCTAGTTTTCCATTCTGTTAGTGGAAGAACTCTACATAGACCTTTTCTCACCCCAAAAACCATCAAATGTCCAGGTTTCCATTCTGAAGAGCTAGAAACCCTGTCTCTCAGCCAGATACCTTCCTTTTCAATGCAGATTTGGGTTATATGCTGTTCTTTCTGTATTGTTTATTTCCAAAATCTTTGCTCAGCCAAATGAAACCAGACCATGCTCCTCTTCATAGCTCCCTGCTAGTCATGACAGGTTTGGCTGATAGTTTGACCTGTGACAGATGTCCACACAGTCGTCAACAAGACCAACCACTGTTTTACCTTGTATTCCCGGTGTCTTTATGTCTTAAAGTCCTTGTTAATAAGGTCTGTAGTCATCCTTTATCTAAAATGGCAGTTAGGTATACAAAGAAAAATCTGAGGTACTTCTCAGTGCTTCTGGTGCTTCTCTGAACCTGAATTTACATTGCTCTCCTGAGTCTTTAGGGTTTTGAGGCATTTTCAGTGAGGTGTTTTAGATATAATAGCAGCCCTTTTCAAAAGATACCAGATCACAAAACTGGTGATGTGTAGAAAGCTGCTGTATCAGGGAAACAGCCTGTGTGACACAGATCTGTATCCAAAACAGGCTGTAATTTTTTAATGAATAAAAATGATAATGCAGCTTAACAGTCTTGATTGTTTATTATAGTTCTACTAGTTACATGTAATACAAAATATTAAGGCACAAATTTAAAAATTCCAGAATGATGAATTTCAGATGTATGCTTAACGTTTTACCCTTTTAAAATATTAAAACGCTTTTTTTTCACTTTTTTTTTCTTTTTTTTTTTTAAATCATAGGCAGTAATCAGTTCAAATTCATCTTTAACCCATTTTTGCCAAAAGCAGTCAGATTTACTCTGTAGACCAATTTGGGGTCTTGGTGTCTAAAAGGAAAAGCTGACTTCCAGGAATTTTTAATAACTTCTTTCCTGTGTGTTTTCAAGCACCTGTAAAGTGGTTCAAGTTCTAGAAGATGTACATTTGGAAGAGCCCTTTGAAAGATGTTAAAAAGCCCCAAATGTCCACTCAGCACACTCAAATAGAAACTTGGTTTGAGTATATCAGATGATTCTCAGCACAGGGATTCTGAACTTCCTTTTCATTGCTGTCATGTATTTTATTCGAAGGAGATATCCCTCTGCTGTTCAATATGAACTGGAATTATATTAGAGCACTTCTTCCTGGTGTGAAAATCACTTAAGTTCTCATCAGAGGAGCTATTTAGTGTATTATATTAACTTTGCCCTCATCAGTACTTATAAGGGTATAAACTTTAATGGTTTTTGGAATTAATTCTGAGTCTGACCATAAACTTACCTTCTAATACTCCCTGTCAGTGAATGTTCTTAAGTGTATCAGTCTTGTAGAGTAAACATGTAGCACTGGAAGCAGAAGGAAAGGTATTTGTTTACATACAATCCTTCAGGTACCAGATTCTTTAAAAAAAAAAAGTCAGTATTAGGGTTTCAGAATTGAGCTCTCAGAGCCAGGCCTTTTCTTTTGCCTTTTTTCCCTCCCTTCAGGTTTTATCTCTAATACTCAACATGAAACTCTCCTTTAAGTGTTGACTCTCTGAGGAAAAAAACTTTGCAGAGACAGAGAGGGACAAGATAAAAGTACAGTAAGAAATATGAATCAGAATATAGTGTATGAAGGGAAAGGGAGAAAGAAATCAAAAGAAAAATGTTTCCTTGTAGGTATTTTCATTATATTCCATTGGTCTTTCAGGTCATAAAACAAACAGGTTACAGAACTGTATTGTCTTATTTATTCTCTTTTCTACAGAAGCTAAATACTTTTAATTAAAGTTCTGAGTGAGTTTTAAGTAAAGTGTGCTGTCATAATATGCCGTGAGAACTAC